TAAACAGATTTAAAGAATCAAGGAGTAGTTTGAAGCTGTAAAATCTGTCAGTAGTTTGTGAAGACTTAAGAAGTCAGAAGTCAAACAACCAATCATATGTTGTTATATAATTTAATTGGTTACCAGAGTTCAAACTATTGAGACTCACTAGTCAGGAAAACATAAGGAAAGTGCTTCTGGATCAGACCAAATGCCTGTCCAGTTCAGCATTCTGTTTCTTGTCTCTAATAAGCCCACAAGCAAAATATGAGACAAAAGCATTTCGCACTTGTATTCCCTGGCAACTACTACTGAGAGGGACTCTGCCTTAGATATTGGAGGTAGGATATAGCCATCATTTACACTCTGTCATGCCCAAGCTATTTCATTTGTCTGAACTGGTGACATTGCTGCAGTTTGTAGTAGTGAATTCCATATTACAGGTGTTTACTGGGTGAAGAGCATTGTGTCATTTTGTCTTGTCTTGAATCTTGCTTGCCATCTTCCAAAGTCTTTCAGCAATCCTTTCATTTGTGAGAAGTTATTTATTCTGCAATCAATTGCGATTGTGCTGGACTTCCTTGGCAGTTTTCCACATATAAATTGAATTTGATAGCACTATGGTCACTGTTTCCAGTCTCAGCTGACATGAAGATTGAGATATCTGAAAACTGAATACAGAATCTGGGATCTGTCCCAAATAAGCAAGAGTTCTTTGCTTTTAAATTCTGGAAATGAAATGCTATGGAAACTAAAGGGGTGTAGGCAAATTTCTTCTCTTTTGAAGATTACATTCACTGTTTTTTTCTTAACCTGAGACTGCTGAAATATAGAGAAGCAATATCCTTGATCTTGGCTGCTAGCTATCCTTGTCTGTATTCCAAATATTGTACAAATGGTATTTATAAAGGTGCAAAATGAGTGTGATTCTGTGTATAGCTGGGACTTTTATAAATAAACAAGTATGTAACACAAATTAAACATTCTAGGCCACAGGGAGACCAAGAAAGGAAATGTGGAATCTGCAGTTCCCAACTTGGAGTTCCTTTAAAATAGATGATATTCAGTAGCATGCTAAATCTTTGTTTTTAAAGAATTTCTAAAAACTGAGCCTGTGGTACACAGTTTCTGTAGTGGATAAACTTACAGCTCATTACCTAGGAGATACAAATATACAAGCAGGATACAAATAAGTTTTATTTTATTATTTTTGAAGCAACTTTGTTATGCTACATATGAATAAACCTTCCCAGTGCATACATATGCATGCTGCCATCAGATTATTTAGAATAGGTACGTTTCTATTGTTAACCATGATGGTGTGAAACAGGTAAATCTATAGTTTTATTGTGCTTTGTTTATGGTGTGACTGTTGGTTTTAAATTCAAGCATTATCAACTCATTAAGAATAGACATATCCTTTTATATAAATTATCTATCATCCTGGTAATTTACTGTATCTGTTATTGTTGGTTCAGAATTTGTTGCCTATTTTGGCTGTTCTACATAATGGCCCAGTTTGGATAGTCACCGTGCAAAGTATTGTTTAGTAACTTGGTGTCCTATAAGAGAGCATCCTCCACACCCTATTGTTCCTTATAGAATCAGAGTGTTGGAAGAGACCACAAGGGCCACCAAGTCTCATCCCACTGCCATGCAAGAATACATGACCAAAGTGCTCTTTAAAAGTCAGTCATTCAACCTCTGTTTAAAGACCTCTCAAAAAGCAGAGCCCATCACCCTTCAATGTACTCCATTCCACTGTTAATTATTTTTAAAGTTTAGGTGGAGTCTCTTTTCTTGTAATTTAAACGTATTGGTTCATGTTGTGATTTTGGGAGCAGCAGAAGGCAAATTTGCTTGATCTTCAACATGACATCCTTTCAGGTATTTAAATATGGATTAGAAACCACACAATAAATCTGTGGAAACCAGATCAGACTCCCTTGAAATTAATGGAACTTACTTCTTCACTGAGAATGCTATGTTTTTAAGAATATATCCTTGTCATTTAAAAAAAAGGATTAATATAGAAAATAAAACCCTGATGAACTCTTTCACACACTGGTCAACTCATCTACTTCCACAGAATCCAAAAATGTGCATATGAGGGCAGCAACCAGTCTCACAAAAATTGCTATTCTGTGATATGCTGCCACAAAACATGGGAGCTTCACAACTACTATAATGCTATTTGTTAACAGACTCATCCAAGAGTTTAATCCCCATTTGAAGCCATCCAAACCAGTAGCCATAACTAATCACAGTGTAAAGAAGTGGATTCCTATAGTTAATCATAATTTATCTTCTTGTCAAACTGAAATCTACTTCAATGGCCAGCTTCAATGGGTGACCCAAGCTGATACTGTTCTAATACCAAGAGGCACCAAATTAAAAAGCAGATGACAGACTGTCTATACCAAATACACATGGGAGAGATAAAAATGGGGGATGAGATGAGAGTACGATCCTTCATTATCCAGTTTCTATATGTTAAACATGGATTTTTAGAAGACTCTTTCTCCTCTCACAGAATCATAGAGTTGGAAGGAACCGTGAGGGCCATTCAGTCCACCCCCTGCCATACAGGAATACACAACTAAACCACTCTCAAAAGGTGCCCATCCAATCTCTACTTAAAGACTCCAGAGATGGAGAGTCCACCACACTCTGATGCAGTATATTTTACTGATGATCAGCTCTTACAATAAAAAAAGTTCTTCTTAATATTTAGGTGATATCTCTTTTCTTGTAATTTTAATCCATTGGTTCATTTGTAGTCTTTGGAGCAGCAGAAAATAAACTTTCTCCATCTTTTATATGACATCCCTTCAGATGTTTAAAGATAAGCTGTCATGTCACATTTCAGTCTTTTCTCCAAGCTATAAATATCCAGCTCCCTAAACCATTTCTCATAGGACTTGGTTTCCTTTTGCTATCCTGGTCACTCTTTCATGAACATGTTCCAGCTTATCAGTGTCCTTTTTGAAATACAATGGCCAGAAGTGGACATAGTATTCCTGTTGAGGTATGACCAAAGGTGAATAGAGTGATGGTTTTATTTTATTCCATCTGAAAACTTTTCCTGCCAGCGATGCCTAGAATTGTGTGTGTGTGTGTGTGTGTGTGTGTATAGGCCATTGCGTCACTGTTGACTTGTGTTTAATTTGTGGTTTTTCAACCCACTAGATTCTTTTATGAGAGTCAGTGTGGTGTAATAGTTTGAGCATTGGACTAGAATTCTATGAGGCCAAGGTTCAAATCTCAGTTCAGCCACAGAAACACATTCTGTGATGTTGGGCAACATTCGCAGAAAACCCTAGCACTCATCCCTCTTGAGTCTCACTCTCAAGACTGCATGCAATTTTTCTGCTTTGTGAATTGTAAAATTATCTTATACTGAATCATTCTCAGTAGCTTAGAAGGTGGAAAAATTCATTATTCCTTGTGAGTGCTAAACATGTATAGACTTAGGGCCAAAAGACACTGCAGAAATAATCCAGTTTGAGACCACTTTAACTGTCCTGGCTCAGTGCTAGGGAATCATGAGAATTGTATTTTTTTCTGAGACATTGAGCCTTCTCTGTAAGAGAACTCTGGTGCCACAATAAACTATAGTTCCCAGAATTCCCTAGCACTGAGCCAGGTCAGTTAAAGTGGTCTCAAACTGGATTATTTCTGCAGTGTGTTTTGGCCCATTCTCCCTGCAACTAATAAGGAGAACTAATACAGTATATGAAGGATATGGGCTAATGAGAACCAGTTGGGTTGAAACTTCTTGCTTAAAATCCCAGGAATGGATGTCTTTCAATATTCAGTCTGATTTTCTTTATATCATGTTTGTTTATTTTTGTTCATCTGAGTCTTGTGTTTATTATTATCTAGTCTTCATGCTAGATGAGATATGTGATAACTGGTATTATTGTGGAATTATTTATTATATGCATGTAATTACATAATCATATTATGGATTGTATGTTCCTTTTCCTGATATTTTTATCTGGTCAATTCTTAGTGTTCTAAAGTTTGTCTTATATTGGTGCATTTATACATTTGTGTTTACTCTGTAAACACTACCTGATCTTTTATGGGATTATTGTGTTTAGTTATCTTGGACAAGTCACACCTTCTCAGCCTCAGAGGAAGGAAAAGACAAACTCCTTCTAAACAAATCTTGCCAGGAAAAACCCATGTTAGGTTCTCCTTACAGTCACCACAAATTGGACATGACTTGAAGACACATAACAAGAAGATCCTTTTCTCATGTACTTTTGTCAAGCAAGATGTCATTCATCCTGTATTTGTGGATTTCATCTTTCCTGCCTGCCTTACATTTTCCCTGTTGACATTCAATTTATTTAGTTCTTTCCCAGCTCTCTACTCTGTTAAGGTCATTTTCAATCCTGATCCTGTCCTCTGAGGTATTTGCTAACCATCTTAATTTGATATAATATATTCCTTTATTCCATCATCCAAGTCATTTATAAATAGCTTTTTGTTCAACCTATAGTTTTCATGATGCCTGAATTGGTCAAGCTGTGATGAAAACTAACTAGGAATTGCTTCTAAACAATGCTCTTATAATCTCTACTCTGGCAAATTTTGGTTTTAAGGCAGCTCCTGATTAGCAGTGACCATATTTTCTCCAGGCTGGATGTGGATGCAAACTATTTTCAGCTAACTAGGAAAAGAAAGGGGGAGCTCAGTAGTGCCAAATGTGGGTGGGTTGTAATTATGTTGATGTCTGAACTTGGCTAAAGAAATTTCAGACTTTGCTAAAGCATTACTTCGCCTGTAATTATTTCTTCTTCTTAAAATAGCACCTCTGTCTTCTCTTTCCTTTGTAACCTTTTCGGCATTTACTCATGATACTGCTGTGTTCCACTGTCTCCTAGGTTTAAATGTCATTTCTGTGTGTTAATGTGTGCCTTTAAGGCATTTCTGACTTATGATGGCCCTGTCACAGGGTTTTCTGGGGCTGAATGTGTATGATTCACTCAAGGTCGCCCAGTGGGTTTCCATGGCTGAACAGAGATTTGAACCCTGATCTCCAGAGTTGTAGTCCAATGTTCAAACCACTACACCATGCTGGCTCTTGAAGCTAAATTAGCAGTCTAATATTGTGACCTGCAGTAGTGCTGGAGGATTGTGAAGGAAAGTGCTTATGATCAAATGTACCCTTTTTTTTAAATCAGGGGTAGGCAACCTTTCCCCTTCAAGGGCCGACGGACTTCAGCTCCCAGAATCCCAGGAGCTATTGGCCAACATGGGACCATTGGCCAACATGGCTGAGGCTTCTGGGAGTTAAAGTCCTCGGCCCTTAAAAGGGAAAGGTTGCCTACCCCTGTTCTAGATCTTTGTGATGTTTGTGTGTATAAATCTATTTATTTATGGGAGTTGTTTTAAAAGAACTGGATGAAAGGACATGTCTCCTTTTACAGTATTGGCTCAGAGAAACCATAGGAGGCTTATATGGGTGAAAGGATGCGTGCTGTTTCCTAGTCTCCTTTAGACAGGTCCCAAAGATTGCCACATCTCTGTTAACAACAACTGAAAGTGCCAACAGCTGCTTAGATTCCTCATAATTGCTAAGGAGGCAAAGTCACTGAAAAAGATGAGTTCTCCATTTCTGGGAGGTCTGGAAACCATGGCCTATGAGGAGTAATTTAGGGAACTGGGTCTGTTTAGCCTGGAGAAGAGGAGGTTAAGAGGTGATATGCTAGCCCTGTTTAAATATTTGAAAGGATGTCATATTGAGGATGGAGCAAGCTTATTTTCTGCTGTTCCAGAGACTAACAGCTGGAGCAATGGATTCAAACTAGAAGAAAATGGATTCCACCTAAACATTAGGAGGAATTTCCTGACAGTAAGAGCTGTTCGGCAGTGGAACACACTTCCTTGTGGTGTGGTGGAGTCTCTTTTTTTGGAAGTCTTTAAACAGAGGCTGGATGGCCATCTATCGAGGATGTTTTGATTGTGAATTCCTGAATGGCAAGGGGTTGGACTGGATGGCCCTTGTGGTCTCTTCCAACTCTATGATTCTATCATTCTTTGGGTGTGCATATGAGTGTGCATTTGCGGGGAAGGGGTTGAACAGAATAAATATGCCTCTGCTCATTTATACACTGAGGCAATGGTTTTCAGTTTTTGTCTTTGTGACCCCCTTTTCATCTACGTGAGGACATCACCCCTTTTGCTTGATGTATATAAATAAAAATATTTTGTTTGTTTAGTTTAGTGTGCATATTTTCATTTACATATTAATGTATATTCATATTTTAAAATTTTATAAGCAAATTACATTGTTCAAATTAGAACAGTTTCATTTAAATGAATCAAATACTTAATATCTGTGTAAATTTTACCCATACTGCCACACACAGAGCCAAACTCACACCAGTGCTCACAGATACATACGCACTCAGTTATGCTCTGTAATTCTCTCTCATTTACACTCTCACACACATAGTATCACAGAAACATTCTCTTGTGTAGATGCAAGTAGTAGTAGTAGTAGTAGTAGAGGGGAATTAAGGCCTCCAAGTTTCCTGCCCCTCTTGAGGAACTCCCACGGCCTCCCTGGGGGTCATAGAATCATAGAGTTGGAAGGGACCACAAGGGCCATCCAGTCCAACCCCCTGCCATGCAGGAACATGAAATTAAAGCACCCCCAACAGATGGCCACCCAGCTTCTGTTTAAAGACCTTCAAAGAAGGAGACTCCACCACACTTCCACTGTCAAACAGCTCTTGGCTGTCAGGAAGTTCCTCCTAATGTTGAGGTGGAATCTCACCCTACAGTTTGTGAACTACTGCACTAAGGTCGGTTTGATGCCTCTTCCAAATGGGTTCCAAATGGTGATTCTCATATTTTAATTGTGGGATTTGAATTGAACGTAACATGGAAAGGGTAGGAGACGGGCTGAAACTACACATTCCTTAGCATCACCTACAACTTTTTGTTGTGTCCTTTGCCCTAGCCATTCCTAGCTTTGTGCTACCCTGCTTCATCAGTTTATAGAAGGCTTTCCATTTCTGCTAGTGAGAGTGAGACAATGAATACATTAAAATCAGTGTAAAGTGAAGCAGGATATATTTGGAACTGGTGCAGCATTGCCAGACAACTAACAGTCTTGAGAAAATGGAGACGACGCTTATAGCCCTATACTGCTGAAAAGGCCTGTACAACTCCACTTTTGCACATTTGCATTACTCTTGATACTAATATTTGTCATGTACTTAGTCATATTCTTCATTGTGCTCATTTCTCATTTTACATGCCTTTTCTACTTCTTGTTGACCTCTCTTCTAACCCATACTGCCTTCAGTTGTATGGCGTGTAAAGTTGTGACACAGTGTATGTTTCATGTATCATAGCTACTGTTCTTCTCACTGAGGAAAGCAATAAAGATTGGTTTGACAGGACTGAAAAAATAAAAGGCCTACTATTGGAGAGTTGGGACAAAACTAAAAAAATAAATATCAGCAAGGATGGCATTTGGACAGGAAAAGCAAAATACATAAATATAGAATGGGCGACAGAATCATAGAGTTGGAAAGGGCCTTATGGACCAATGAGTCCAATCTCTTTCGCAATGCCGGCTCTCCAGCTAAAGCATCCCCAGCAGGTAATTGTCCAGCCTCTTTTTGAATATGTTTGGAGAAGAGACTCCACCACCTCTCTAGGCTTTTGGTTTGACAACAGTACATTAAAAAGAATCCGAGGAACTTAGTAAACCACAAGCTAAATAAAGCAATGTGATGCATTGGCTAGAAGAGAGAATGCAATTCTATGTTCATCAGCAGGTGTGTGTAGTACTCAGATGGAGGGAAGTAATAGTAGCACTCTATTCAGCTTTTTGCTGACTTCACTTGGAGTACTTGCTTCCTGTTCTTAGCGCCACAGTTCAATATTGAAAAACTACAACAGGTCCAGAGAAGGCTGCCCAACATCATAAGAGGACTGGAAACAAGGTCTGTGCAGGAATTAGGTATGTTTAACTTGGAGAAGGGAAGGCAGAGACGTGATGTGCAAACATCCAGGGGTAGCCATGTTGGCCATATAGCAAATCCAGTAACAACAAAAATCCACCAAATAGTGATATCTCTATTGCGCCAACCAAAATACACAATATACATGTTGCAAGCTTTCAAAGCTCCACTGGCTTCTTCATCAGACAAGGTGTTGAAAACCATAGAGGAGAAAAAATGGAAGATCTTAGTCATAGGCCTGCATTTTGCTATTTTTGTTCTCAGTTCAGATGTATCATTATGGAATGATTATGGAGGGGTATTTCTTGCAGTCTGGCACCTCCTCCTCCTGGCCATGTGGCTATGTGATGTGCAAGTCATCTTTAAATATTTTAAACAGGTGTCATGTTAAAGAGGGAGCAAGCTTGTTTGCTGCTACTCCAGAAACCAGAAAACAAATCAATGAATACAAATTACAAGGGAAAAGATTTTCCTGAATATTAGAAGGAACTTCCTTGTAGTAAGAGCTGTTTGATAGATGAATAGGAGGCAATGGACTTCTTCCTTGTATATTTTGAAACATTGCTCTCTCTTGGGGGTGCTTTGGTTGCGGATTTCTGCATGGCAGCGGGTAGGACTAAATGATTCTTGTGGGTTGCTTTAATCCTATAATTGTACTGATATATTATCTTTTCATTCCTGATCTTACAAACTATAATATAATGAATCCCTAGAAACCTGAAAATTGATTTCTCTGCCCTTTAACAATTGACTGTGTAAACAAGTGGTTCTCAAACATTTTACTGTTGTGACCCCCTTTACATCTGAATGTGGACCTCATCTCCCCACTGGACATAGTTTTTGTTCTTGTTGTTAACTGCCTTCACGTTGATCTTGACTTGTAGTCTCGTGTCTCCTTTTTTGTGGATGAGGATGTATGTTGATCGCCTCCAATCTTATTCAGAGCTAGTTATAACTATGAAACAACTGTCTAGCATTCTGCACATACAAGAATCCTAAGGTGGCAATCCTGTTTATCTGACCAAAAAACTACATGTCACCTCAACTTCCATCCTTTTTTTGGTTCAATAACATCCAAACAATGATACCTTTATTGGGCCAACAAAAATGCATAATTACATGTTGCAACTTTTCAAAGTCACACTGGCCTCTTCATCAGGCAAACAGGAGAAAAATATTGAAGATGTTAGTCTTGGGACTGCATTTTCTGTTTCTGATCTCAGTTCAGATTTTAGGGGAGGGTTATCTGCAGGCTGGCTCCTCCCCCTTTGGCCATGCAGTCGCTGGAAAATTTTGCAAGCCAAGGAAATTTAATATCCATTTGCAATCCCTTTTTTGGTTGTTCACTGAGATGACTGCAATGTGGGTTGCTCCAGTCTCATCATGATACTGCACTGGCTCTCTGTTGGACTGATGTACATCCACATATCAGTTTAAATGGGATTGTGGGAGTATGGATGGGTATATGGTTTAATGCAGGGGTAGGCAACCTAAGGCCCGGGGGGCCAGATGCGGCCCCCTGA